ACATGAATAGCATATTATTAATGAATTAATAAAATATTTGTAATCACACTATAACAACATGCGATGTGCATCGCTATATATCTTTCGACATGATGCATTTAAATGTTGTTGTTGTGTATGACAACACGCTTTGACTTGTTGTCATAAAGCTTATAACTACCCGCCTGTGCGTATTGTTAATTACCTATGACAACATGCATGATGCATTGTTGTCGATTTTATACAACGAGCATTTACTTGTTTTACAGCGTTGTATGTAGGTTGTCAAATGTGCCGAGAATTTAACAACATGTTGGTCAACAACGTTCGGTTGCGTGCTGTCTTAACCCTTTCACAACACACATCAAGCGTTGTTAAAACACCTTTTTCTTGTAGTGTATATACTATTCAAAAGGTCCCCTACATGTGAGAGGTGTGTGAGTGAGTGGTTAAACATGTAGAGAAGTATGTGAGTGTTTGGTGAGTGTGGTCAAACATGTAGAGAAGTGTGTGAGAAAGAGGAGTTAGGTGAGGACTCGGTCATGTTAATTTTGTTTCAATTAATTGTGACAATTCAAAAAAAAAAAAAAAGTGGTGAAGTGGTTATATTAAGTGATTATACTTCTCATTTTATTATTACGGTGGTGTTTTCAAGAGCTTATTAACAAATCAGAATATAGTAATTGTGAGTTAAATTGATATTAAAAGTTTGTTAGTTAAAAGTTGATGGTGTGTCTAGAAAATCATTTTTTTGATATATATAGAAAGCATATTTTGAGATGATTTTAGAAAAATAACTTAAATCAACACTTATATAAAGAAAAGTAAAAGCAAAAGTTAATTTTGTAAATACCTGAAAACAAATTATGAATCAAAAAAGCTTAAATTTTTATGGGCAAATTACGGCCACCCCCTGATGTCATAACGATCTTTGCCACTAAGGCAAATTTATTTTCATTATTTGGGGTGGTCCATGGCATACTTGGCCACCCCCTAGATTCACCCCTGCTCGGGGGTGGCCGTAATTTGCCCAATTTTTATTTCTAAAAGTTGTTACAAATACCACCTAATACTTGATTTATGACATCACTAGTATATTGAATTAGTAACAATCTTTTTACAAGAATAAAATAATGGAGCTATGGACATTATTGATGGTGTGGTCTCACATTGAGTATTTGACAACTTCACCAATATGGCATGGGCATTCCATCACAACACGAATCTCTAGGTAAGGCCAAACAAATCTTTACATCAAAATATTTCATCCAATATAAAGTTTCATTAATGTCATGTCATGCAAATTTTGTCACAATGAAACAACCATAGTCAAGTGAAACTAGTATATTAAATTAGTAGCTTGAGCAATCTTTGTACAAGAGCAAAATAATTGAGCTATGGACATTATTGATAGTGTGGTCTCACATTGAGTGTTTGACAACTTCACCAATATGACATGGCATTTTATTACAACACGGATCTCTAGGTAAGGCCAATTGCATACAAACAAATCTTACATCAAAGTATACCATCCAAAGTAAAGTTTCCTCAATGTTTATGTCATGTAAATTTTGCCATGAGCAACCATAGTCACGTGAAAGTTACCAAGGTAAAATTGAAATTATTGAATAAAATATTTTTGAAGTTAAAAGATTAAATTGTTACTAAAGTGGTAAGAGGAAAATTATTAGATGAAGTATAAATTAATGGAGTAAAAATAATATGGCGAAAAATAGGGGGTTTTGTTATAACTAAAATCTTTAAAATTCTCTATTTTCCACATTGTTATCATACTGAGATATTTGACTAACTATTGAAAATATGGTAAATTTCACTTTATCCCTTGTACTTTGGCTCGATACTACTTTATTCATATATTCTCGTTTGCATCGATTTACCCCCATGTACTTGATAAATTGTCTCAGTGTGGCCCTTGACCTAAACACCGCTTGATCTAAGCCTGAAAATTACAAAAACCACCCCTCCTAGTTTAAATAATTAGTTAAAAAAAATTGTAGTTGACGTCATGAACTATGTTTTCACGTTGTTTTGAATTTTTTATTTATTTATTATATTTTCTATTTTATTTTAATAATTATTTAAACTGGAAGATGTGACGTTTATGTAATTTTAACAAACCGGTGTTAGGATCAAATGTCTGACAACTAACAAGGAGGGTCATATTGAGACAGTTTTTTAAATGCATGGGGCAAATCGATGCAGTCGAGAGTAGAAGGAGGTTAAAGTGATACCGAGCAAAGTAAAGGGGGAAAGTGGCATTTACACTTGAAAATACAATAAACATGTAAAACTTAGTATTTTAAATTCAAACCATTAATTCAAAGTAGATCTAATTAAATTAAAGTTTCAAATTTAAATTATTAAAAAGACAAAAATAATAATAGTTTTTAGAAATGTTGTTGTCGGACTTATATTACATTTGTTAATATAAATTGTTTTTGTTTTATGTAATGTTTAACAAATTTGGTGGTTTCGGCTTTACCTTAATTGAGAAAATAAAAATAAAGATACAATAGTTATATATATAAAAAAAAAAAAAAAAAAAAAAAGATGAGCTGAAAATAGCACAAAATGCCCGACCGTGCTGAAATCGCAAAAATCACCCCAAATTGTGATGAAAATCGTACAAATCACCCATAAATGTGTCAAAAAAATCGTACAAATCACCCATAAATGTGTCAAAAAAAATCGACAAATCACCACCAGAACAGATTTCATTAACAACGTATCGTATCGCGATATCGAGGAACATTTACCAGTATTTGATTACAACCATTACATATGCCAAGCGATATTGTTTCCATAGCAATTATACTGTATCGTGGTATATCTCAATATTGACTACACCGATTTTCCATGAGCCAGATGAATTTTCTATTCCATGAGCAAGACGCATTTTCTATCCCATACGACAAATTGTGTATTACGAAACACAGAAATTAGGGTTACTGTTAAAATTCAAATTAAAACTAGGTATTCAGTTGATCCTCTAGGCATTTTCGAATTTTAATAAGAAAATCTTAGAGTTTCTCTATTTTCTGGTGGATTCCGAAGTTTGTGTTTTTGGAGATTAATTCGCAGTAATTTTTCTCTTCAATTGTGCTTCCGTTCTGCGTCATAAAAAAAAGGACACATGACAATCGAAGACCCACCCAGTATAGGGTCGAAGGAGCCCACCCCCACCCCACCCCTCCCCCATTCCATAGGAGATGCCATTAGAGACTCATTAATCAATCTTTAAATTCCAATGAAAAGACCTCATTTTAAAATTTTGGTTTTACCATTGTACAAGTATCTTATATATTGATTTGTAGATGCTACACCAATTAAAATGCACCTGATAATTTTAAACTATAAAATTATAAAACTATAAAATGCACCGTGTGTATGTATAGTTAGTGGATATTTATTTATATAGATCTCCAATTTAAAATCACTCAACATTTTTACCGTAAAGCATAACATAGACTATTATTGATTTGCTATTTTTTTGTATAAAAAAATCATCAAAGGGGCAACTGTGTGATTTATCATTTATGAGGGGTCAATTGTAAATTGGAATATCCCCTTAGTTACATAATGGTGGTGACGGATTCTTATCCCGTATCATGAGTGGAACAAAATCACTTTTACTTACAAAATCACTTTTAATGGCAATATTAATGGTTAAATTACAACAGTAGTGAGGTATGATCAATTTTGGGTAATTACAACCACCTCTGAACTATAAGGGAAAATTGGCTAGACACCCCTAATTATGGACTTATATAGGTGGAGGTTCATGCTATTAAATGAATACAGCTATAAGTCATTTGACCAATAAAATTAATATAAATTAAATTAAATTATTAGTGTATAGACAAAGAAACCCCTCCTCAATTAACAATTAATTTTACGTGAAGACATAATAGACTAAGGCCTCGTTTGCTTACCTATATTGGATTACATCGGATTAGATTAAATTGGATTAATTTTGTACTGGTTAACTAATTAATTAGTTAATAATATGTTTGGTTCTTTAGACTACATGTTGTATTAAGTTTGTTAAATTCTGTTATTATATGTAAATTGTCTATAAAGTCATTTATTAAACAAAATTAAATCATTATTTGATGGATAAATTTGTAATTCCCCATTTTAGTCATCCCTACTAAATTAATCGCGGGGTGTTACTAATTTCATAGCGTAGTAGCACTTAATTGCGGGCTTCAACTTTAGTAACGGACTTGAGTAATGTTGAATCCTACCAACCAAACATCTTACTAACTCCTACTATTTAATTAATCCAATCTAATAGTACCAAGCAAACGAAATACTAATACACGACCCCACATATATATACAGTTGTGCATTTTATTTAACTCATCTAATAGCGTATGTTACGTATCATTATAAAACTAATCAAATATTCATAACATTAATATACAAATAAAGAATATAATCAATTTATTTAAATGTAATAGCCCCACATAATTAGGTATACATGCATGTACAAACAATGACATGCCATAATTAATTAGGTGAAATTACTGCTAGTAAATAAAATATTTTTGATGTTAAAAGATTAAATTGTTATTGAAGTCCCAAGGGGATTAACAGAATTCTAGCTAATAAAGAAGGTTTTTTAACAATTAGAATAAACACAGGGTCCCCAATGAAATAAACCCATATTGTTGATGTACGAGTACTGAACTAGAAAGTGTATGTAGAAATATATTTATAAAGTTAAATTTGTTCACAAAAATCCGTTGTAGTCTAGTTGGTCAGGATACTCGGCTCTCACCCGAGAGACCCGGGTTCAAGTCCCGGCAACGGAATTTCTTTTTAATTGTTTGCTTCTTCACTCTCAAATTTGTGGCCCAATTTTATATTTAAAACTTTTTATTTTGCGGTCAACGGAATTCCTTTTTAATTGTTTACTTCTTCACACCCTAATTTTATATTCCTTAATGGCCCTAATTTATATTTTATCTTTTATTTTGTGGTTTATGAAATGACAATTACATAGAAAATTAAATTCAATACATGTCACAACGTAACAGTTACACAAAGTTAAAACATAAAATTGAAATATTGGAACAATTCTTGAAAGAAAAAACTAATTAAAAACATTTATTGGGAGGGGTAAAAAAGGAGAACAAAAAAAATTATCGGGGCAATGGAATATCGGAAAGATCCTCTCTATACGGCACATGTTGTTGCAATTCAACACCACCTTCACCCCCACCCTCCATCCGGGTCTGGGTAATCGGGTCGGACTTCGATGGGTCAATGTACGTAACAACCTTATCCTTACGAAACATTAGATATATCACCGATCCGATATAAACTGCCATTAATGGAAATACTAAGATTCCGATGAACACATTCCCAACTTTCGGCAAGTTGTTGTGTATTATCCAGCCCACAAATGCTGTGCTAAGATAGTATACGTTAATTCCGATAATTCCCAATCCTAATACCCACGAAACCACGATTATCTGCGCACATGCAATAAATAATTTTCCAATAACTCGAGATTAAAAAAAAATTGTTTGTCCAAAATGAACGTCTTGATGCGAAAAATACTTACGTATATTGAGTTCTTGTGGGGTCCCATCTTAGTTGTACCGCTGCTGAATTTGAGAAGTGGGATTAGGGCAAACGGGAGTTCGAACGATAGTATCATCTGCAATAAATCCATTTCACAATATTAAATTAAGTGTTTAATTATTTTTTGTCACGATATAAATTTAATCACTATATAGAGTTTAGTTTCATAATACAATAAAAAAATAAATTAAATGACATAATTAATTAGAATATACGAACCGAGGCGATGATTATGAGTCGACCAGCTCCCGAAGGTCCACCGATTATGGAGACAACTAGACTTGGAGCTATGGCGATGCACCTCGTCACCAAATTTCTTAGCCATGTTCTCATCTTCAAATCTAAGAACCCCTATATTTATTTTTACAATTAATATTATAATTTGAGTTTTTTTCGACAAATAATATTTTATTTTAATTTGCATAATTTGAAAAAGAAAAAATAAATTATTTGGTATACCTGCATGATAAATTGTCCGGCATAAGTGCCGGTGATAGTCGAGCTCTGGCCTGAGGCTAACAATGCGATAGCATAAACGGTAGAACTCGACCCCCCTAAAACATTCTGCCGTATGCATAAAATAAAATAAATTTCGAGCTCGGCTTTTTTTGTTCTTTTTTTTAATGAGAATTAATTTAAATTAATTAAAAGGTATTAAATTAACCTTGAGGAGAAAAGAGGCAGAATTGAGTGTTAAATCACTGCAACGTTCTTTGTCGTCTGGTTTGAGTTCGTCGACTAAGCACACGGTTGCGGATACAGACACAATCGCAACGTTGATCAGAAACGCCACAAACAATGCAAATCCACTCTCGATCAAGAAATACCGACACGCGTCCTGAAATAAATTTAATTAATTTGAAATACACATTTGTTATTTTAGCTAACCGAACCGTATTTACTTTATTAACTCACATTGATACCGCGCACGGAATTAGGTACTTTCCGGGAGAGAACTAGAGCAGAATGAAGAAAAAGATTATGCCTGCGATAAAAAAGAAAATATGATTTCTCCAAATTAATGAATAATTTTGTTTTTTTGAATGAAAAAATATATAATTATAGATAAGTGGTCGGAAAAAATGAAGCATACGGCATAACAAGGGCACCGAGAAGTGCAATGGCATCACCGGTAGCATCTTGGCCGTTTAGCTTAGGAATGAACAATCCTTTGAGAACTTGTTTCGCGGGGGGTTTCACGTAACTTAATTCCCCGAAAAAACATGCTGCCATTACGAACACTAATATCGCTATCAATAATTCGAGCTTTCTCACCTATTTAAATAAAAAAAAATTAAATTAAATAAATCAAGAGGATCTAATAAACATACTAATAACTCTAATAAACATACAAAACACACAGTTGGGGTGAAAGTTGGAGGCCATTTTTCATATCAGTTTCGATTCTTTATTGGAAGGCATTCAGTATTTCCCAAGTTTCGATTTTTCAATTTTCCGACATTTTTTTTAAATATAATTGAAATTCAGTATGACTTCCAACTGTACAAGCAGTCAAATATATCAATTCTACTTCACCGCAAGAATGAACGTGTAATACAATACATAATTGATAAGTAATTGTAATTACCCAAACATGAAGGTTTCTTTTTCTCGTAATTTAACCTTACCTTTGGGTTGCTGGACGTAATTTGCCCTTATTTTTTAAATGGGTGATTCAAATTGATATTTAATTGCAAGAAAATTGGGATTCTTGAGGCAATCAATTGATAAAATTGTGTTGCCCTTTCAGTGGTTATATGGGGCAGTTGAGGCCAGGCATTTAATAAAATTTCAATAAAATGCAAAAACATTAGAAAGTGGTCAACTGTTTAAAATGGTCAACTGTTCAAAATTTCTTCCCTAGTTGCAATATAGATTCGCAATGTATTAAAATTTAAAATTATTTTTTCCCAAGTGTGTCATTTCTTATTTATTATTTCTAGCCACGGTTTTATTTTATTTATTTAGTTTATGTTTTTTTATTTATTTATCAATAATTTTTTTTATGTAAATATGTGTACGGAACTATTACCTATCTGTCTTAACGTGCAAAATTAAGAAGAAAAAAAATATTTAAATTAGTTAAAAGCCTAACAACCGGAAACTATGGATCTTGAGAAATACATTAAAACATCAGACCAAACAATTGTTGATTACTCAACTTCAAGATTGGTTCAATATAATTATGGGTAAATTACGGAAACCCCCAGAGCTTAGGATAAATTACGAAAAAGACTCCACATATCCCTAATTATCAAAATAACCCAAAGTTTGTTTACGTCTTACATTGACCCCCTAACGGTGTGATTTTTCATGGAATCTTTTTTATTTCAGGGAATATTCTCTAAACAAATGTCAACTCTATCTCGACAGACGTAGAACGTATTGAAGGTTTTCATGAACATATGTTTAAAAAATTGCTTACGTATGCTATGATAGTTCATATTATCAATTCAAGAAGTGTAGTGACATTGCGAATTCAAGAAGTGTAGTGACATTGCGATGTGATATTGAAAAAAATGAGGTTACTGTAGAATGTATACTATACTAAGACTACCCATATTTGAGAAACTGTTCTTAGGGGTAGAATTGGAATTTTTGGCGAATTTTCTCGGGAATCAAAAAAATCGTGAAAAATCACAATATAGTAGAAGGGTTGGTGTAAGATGGAAACAAATTTCGGGGGATTTTGATAATTACAAATAGGTATGAGTGTTTTTCATAATTTAGCACGAGTTCAAGGAGATTTAAGTAATTTACCCGCTGATGTCCTTTGACTAGTAGTCTAGTACTGGTCCAAATTGAGAACACAATAGGTATTTTAATACTAATAAATTTAAATATTTTGTAAAATAAATGTAAATCGAAAGCAAAAGACAAATATATAAAGACAAACCCTAGAACAAGAGATTATACCACGATATAAAATTTTGGCCTATCACTTTCTGTATAAGTTGACTACTTGGTAGTTGGTACTTAGGATAAGAAACCACGAATTAAGATTATACCTTTTGAATTAATCAACATAATTAAATGAAGTTGTTAATTAATTAGAGTTAATTGCAAAAAAAAAAAAAAAATACTTAGTAGCCATTTTGAATTACTAAAAATTGACCTCATGTTATTCTTATTAGTTATTGGCATAAACCCGTATTTTTTTTGGATAAATTACAACGACCTCCAAGAGGTAAATTATAATTGCAAAAAACCCCTTTTTTGAAAAATTACATCCAACTCCCTGTAGTTTGTAAATTTGTACATCCACCCCTTACATAAGGATATTAATGTAAGAAATTTATAAATTAAAGGGGGTGAATGTAATTATGAAAAGCTGAGGGAGTTTTTCATAAATATATATTACCTCTAGGAGCAGTTGTAATTTACCTTTTTTTTAAAATATGACACGTTTTTTTTCAATCAACCCTGATTAATTGGATAATTAGTTTAACATAAAGATGAAAGGGATATGTATCTGCATTTAATCATATATAATTACATACGTATATATGATTTAAATACTAAATCAAGTGAGTAATTACTAACATTTTAAATTAATTAATCTCACGGTTATGAAGTTGACTAACATAAGAAACGAATAGATTCTATATTTTAAAAGTCGATTCATCAAATGAACCAACTCCATATTCTTTTATCCTAAAGTATAATAGGGTTAGTTCAAATTTAATAGTAGGGTGGTTGAAGTTAGAAAGGTACAACAATTAATCAATGTTTAATAAATAATGAAAAATGAATATATTTGTATTCTTATTCATGCACCTATATGATTGGTTGTAGTTTATTCGTTTTATATATTAAATTAAAATATTTTGATCGATAACTTAAAATATTAAAGGGTAAGATGACTTACGCCGTATCTCTGCAATCCGAGCAAAAGAAGAGTACTGAGACCGGTGAGAAGAACTCCGACCCAAACCGGGATGTGGAATAATATGTTCAATGCAAATGCAGTCCCAATTACTGTCACACATTATACGAATAATTTAAATACAAATATTTTATTATATACAAATCAATTAAATGGGAAAAATACAGTTTTCGCTCCTCAAGTTTGCACCGATTTCACATTTAGTCATCCATGTTTACAAAAAACACATTTGGTCCCTCGTATTTTAAAAATGTAATACTTTAGTCATTTACATCAATTTTCGATTAGTACTAACGGAATCAAGCATGTGTATATCATTGTCTTAACTGATGGACTAAAAGTAAATTGACGGAAATGACCAAAAATGTTAAATTATTGAAACATGAGGGACTAAATGTATTTTTTGTAAACATGGGCGGGGACCAAATGTGAAAGCAGTGCAAACTTGAGCGGTGAAAATTGTAATTTTCCCTCCATTAAATACACACACACACACAAACACACACACATATTTTATATGAAACTGCTAAATACTTTCCATTATTAATATTCTTTGCCATGAAAAGAATTATTACACGAGTATTTACTCCTAATAAAGATATAGATTTTGATATGAGAAATTTACAATTTTCATCCTTCAATTTTGCACTAATTCCACATTTGGCCCCCATGTTCACAAAAAAATACATTTGGTCCCTCATGTTTCAATAATGTAACACTTTTGGTCATTTCTATCGGTTTACCGTTAGCCCGTCAGTTAAGCCGGTGAAAAGGCACACGCTTGATTCTGTTATTGCTAACAGAAATTTGACGGGAATGACTAAAAGTGTCTAACTTTTATAACATGAGGGACCAAATATGAAATATGTGCAAATTTGAGGAACGGAAACTGAATTTTTCTCATTTTGTTATATAAAAGAAATTTATCGATGAATGATTTTAATTTCTAAATATTGCTCAATATATTTATCTATATTATATATTATATTATATATATGTATGTATATATATTACCTTCAGGAATGTCTGCAGCAATGACTGCCACCTCAGCCAACAACCATAAACAGTATTTGACAAATACAGGGTACTCAGCCTTGCACAATTCGGACAAATGTTTGCCTGCATGAATGAAAGAAACCCCATTAATTTTATTTTTTATTTTTTTATTTGACCAAATTAAATGCATTTACTTACATACTAACAAAAAATTCAGTCAAATTAATATATTTATAAATTCAAGAAAAAAGAAATAAAACATTAAATGGTGATGGTAGCAGTAGTAGTACCAGTGCTAACTCCAAGATTTGCAGCAAGTGACTGAATTATCAAAGCAAATATCAACCCGATAAGGATCACCCATAGCAACTGCATTTTTATTTTTATATATTTATATTTATTCAACAATTAATTAATTAATTAGGATTATGAAATTAAATAATATATATAAATATTTAATTGTATTATAATTTGTTAATTACTTCATATCCATGGTTTGCTCCAGCTTGAAGATCAGTTTCCACTGCAATTCAAACATCAATCACTATTATATTAGAGAGAGAGAGAGAGAGAGAGAGAGAGAGAGAGAGAGAGAGAGAGAGAGAGAGAGAGAGAGAGAGAGAGAGAGAGAGAGAGATTTACAATTTCCAGGATCAAGGTAAGCCAAAGATACCAAAAAACCAGGGCCAACATAGGGCAAGAAATTTCTCCATCCCGATTTCTGTGTACATTCATATATATATATATATATATATTATATATATACATATATATAAAGAGAGAGAGAGAGCAAAAGATATTATGAAGATTTGATTAGAAGATAATCCTCCAGGATTATACAGTTGATCATCCGATTCAAGAAAATTGAGAATCTAATACTATTCTAATAAAGCTGAATTGATGGATTAAAAAAAAGGCGCAATTAATTAACCTGTTTGAGAGAGTCGTCTTGGTCAACGCCGGAGGGTGGTGTCTCCGCCACAGAGACTATCCGGTGGGTGTTTCCGCCACCGCCACTGCCCTGCTGCTGCTGCAAGCTTCCCATATTTGTGCTGTTGTGTAATGTGTGTGACTGTTTTTTTAATTAATTAATTAAATTGGGAATTGGGAATATTTGTGGGCTACTCTTGTATTTATCGTGGGGGCATTTCATGTAATTATAATAGTTAAATGTATCTCTATATATTTATTTTTTGTTGCCCAAAATTAGGGAATTCTCAAGAACGTGGTTATTTTACATTTAATACTAATATTCTGTACATATTATTATTTAATTATTTATAGATTTATTGTTTTAATCTTTTAATCTGAGCTGGAAGGCATTCTTGTATTTGCCTAATATAAATTCAAATTACGGTTCAAATGTTTGTAAGAGAGGTTAAAAGTGTGGTTAAAGAAACTGGAATTTGCCGTAATTACTTGGGAGAAAAAAAAAAAAGTCAACGTATTGACCAAAAATGAGGAATTTTTGGATTTTGTAAACAAAAATGAAATCCTAATTTATTTTTTTTTTAAACTTTTTCCAT